ATATCTAACATCTAGAAACTCAGGGATAATTAAGTGTAAATGCATATTCACACACATAAAAACACATGCACAAATGCACTTGGATCTGGTGACAAAGTGTGTCAATATGGAAAAATGAGTAGCAAAGTAAGTTCTGGGAAAAAGGTATTGGGAAAAAGGTATTTGTTCAGCTTATGTAAGATTCTGTACCACTGATTTTCTTTGCCTTTTGTGAAAAATCAGTGTTCCTATTTATAATGTTGATGAAATAAGAAGAAAACATTTAAGAATCCTAAAAGTCTGATATATATTCAGTTGCCTAAAGAGAAATGTAAAGTGTCCTTATTCTTTCTCAGTATTAGTGTCGCCAGTAGTGATAATATCCTTTCTGTTATCTGTATACCTCAATCTATCATATATTTTCACATTTTAATACTTGTTATGTGTTTCAGGGTGTTGACGATGCCTTCTATACATTAGTTCGAGAAATTCGAAAACATAAAGAAAAGATGAGCAAAGATGGTAAAAAGAAGAAAAAGAAGTCAAAGACAAAGTGTATAATTATGTAAATACAATTTGTACTTTTTTCTTAAGGCATACTTAAGTAAAAGTGGTAATTTTTGTACATTACACTAAATTATTAGCATTTGTTTTAGCATTACCTAATTTTCTGCTCCATCCAAACTGTTAGCTTTTATCTTGAATGCTTCTTTTAAATGACAGTGGAAACTTTTTTTCCTCTAAGTGCCAGTATTCCCTGATTTTGGTTTTTGAACTAGCAATGCCTGTGAAAAGGAAACTGAATACCTAAGATTTCTGTCTTGGGGTTTTTGGTGCATGCATTTGATTACTTCCTATTTTTCTTACCAATTGTGAACTTTGGTGTGAAACAAATTAATGAAGCTTTTGAATCATCCCTATCCTGTGTTTTATCTAGTCACATATATGGATTAATTACTAATTATAACTTCAGTTGAGATTTCATGATTGGTTTTACTGAAACATTGAGGGAACATGAATTTATGGGCTTCTTGTAGATTCATCTTGTAGGTATAACGTCCTATAGTTTCAGTCACCCTTAATGAATGTAAAGTTACACTGTTCATAAAGGTTTTCTCCGTCTTTTCACTGCTGTTTGTCATAGTCATGCTCCCCAAAATATTATATTTTTTCTATAAAAAGGGAAAAAATGGAAAAAAATACAAGGCAATGGAAAATATTAAAAGGCATTTACTTTCCATATTAGATAAATTCCTATAATACTCTAAATAGCTTTTCCTGTTAAGGCAGACCCAGTGTGTGATGAGGATTATAGCAGCCATTTTGGGGCTATATTTACATGCTACTAAATTTTTGTAATAATTGAAAAAATTTTAACATGTATAAAAAATTCCCATAGGAATTAAGTATAGTCTCCCTGTGTCAGATTGCTTTTTCTTAGCGTAACTTTAAATCTTTTCTTGAACTTCAGTCTTAGAAAATAGTTTTAATTCTGGTAGTGACGTTAACGATTATTTGGGCCAGTTAGCTGTAGTAGACGTTAAAGAGACCAAGGCTGCAAGGCCAGGCCTTGTGTGAACCTTTGAGCTTCATTAAGAGTCTCATGGTATGGACTGCATACCTGTGGCCTCTCAGTGTGGTCATGCACTGGGTGGTCAAAAGTGGGGACTAGCAGAGTTTGGATAAGATACATTCTCACGATGTGGTGGTCTTGCTGACAGATCAGACACATCACTTTTGTTTTTTAAAAAAAAACAACCAACAACTTTTTAAAAACATTATTTTAAATGAGATTTTGGGGTAGGGGGTGGCAAGATCTTAATTTTTTTTTTAAAACAATGAAGTGAAAAAGTTTCAGAATCTCTAGTATTGGCTAGTTCTCATTAGCCAATGTTACTGGCTAAAGTAACATTTCATAAACACTTTACAAGTATGGTCCATATTTAAGAATATATAATGGTTAAAGAATAAATTAATAACATGATTCCTACAATGCGTTTAAGATGTATTTTTAAATATCTGAAGTGAGACGGTGTGTTGAGGTGAAAATATCACTGGACTAAGAGGAAGGTGACTTAGATTCTAGTTACGTGTCTTTTACAATTCAATTTTGGGCAAATCACTATCCATTTCTTCATGTTAAAAGAAGTCATCTCAGAGGCTATATCTAGCATTACAGCTATGTGATTTACATTCAGTTTACATAAAGATATACCTATTTGTCAATCTCAGCACAATCTGTAACTTTTTACCTGTGTTATCTTCAGTGCCAGTCTTAGGCAAAGTTGTGCAAGAGGTGAAGTTTATTTTTGAGTATCTATTCTCCAGTGTCAGTATCAGTACTCTCCCCCACATTCGTGTCATCTTGCCTGCCTACCCTTCTACATGCCCCATGACTTGATGCTTTCCTCTTAATACTTCGAATTCCTCTAACCTCAAGATTTATTGCTGCTTTGGATATCTCTGTGAAGGCTTCCCATCAAGTCACATTAGTCAGGCTCAACATAATCTGACAGATACTATAGTGAGATTGAACCTAATAGCTAATTTTTAGGTGGTAGCTATATAGCAATTTAACTTTGATCCTTTTGAACATCATCTCTTTGCTACCTGGTCCATTAGTGACTAAGTAGGAATTTTCATACCTGCTATGAGTAGACAGAACCCTATCCGGTGGAAGAATTTAATAAAGGTAGTACTGAAAGATTTCCTTAGATAACCTAAAATTAGAACTAGCCCTGGTAACAGTGATACATTCCAGTATTTTGATAAGCAAAATCTTCTTACAATGAAAACTACCTTAAAATTTAATTCACAAAGCTTACTTTTCAGAATTCATTTATTCAACAAATATTTGAGTGCCTACTAGATGCCAGGTACTACACAAGGCACTGGGGATATTACATATCCCCCAAAAAGGACATAATCCCTATCCTTAAGTAGTGCTGATATTTTAGAGTGGTCTGTAATATCTTAGTGAGGCATGTGGCACATGACCCAGAGATAACATAATGCATATTGTAGTTTTGCAAGAAGGGATATGGTCTCTAAGGTTTCTTCCAGTTCTAAAATAATTGTTTTGCGGATTCCAGTAAAGCTGTTCAATCAAGCTACTTTATATAAATCGCTTTACTTCCTTATTTTAAAGGAGTAAACTTGACTATATATTGTTTTTTATTTGGGATAATTACGTGATTCTCTTGGGACAACTAATAGTACATATTAAATCATATGTCAGATAATAACATTAAAATTCCCAAGTGTGTATTATTCTAGTTGGTCTCTTTGTATAATAATTAAAAATAGACTTAAAATTAAATAATTGAATTTAAAAATAGTTTTATTTATCTGGGTATGAATAAACAGACGCCTGAACTAATTCACAGAAAAGAAAATTTCTATGTAAAAAAATCAGTCCAGTTTCTGAAATGCTGTGCTAAACTACAGGTTTATGGAACATTATCTAGATAGGGTGTTAAGACTTTATAGTACTTCCTCTTGTTTCTACACAAGAGAAAGAAATGGCCATACTTCAGGAATTGCAGTGCATAACTGAGGGATTTTTAGGACTCTTGAATTTTTTGATGTAGCTGGGCAACATTTTTTAGGCAGTGGTAATTATCCTTTATTATGTGAATTTTGAATGGTTTAACGGAAGGTTTGTTTTTGTAGAGATTTTACAAGGGGAGCCATAATCCTAGAAATAAATTTATGTAATTATTACGGCCTTAAAGATAAAAATCCTTGTTGAAGTTGAAAAAAATTGCTAAATTACATAGTCTTAGACATTAACATGTTTGTGGAAGAATGTAGCAGAAGTATGTAGTATAATTTCAGTGAATATTTCCAATTAGGAATTCTAGGCTCTATTTTAACTGAGTCACACTGCATAGGAATTTAGAACCTAACTTCTAGGTTATCAAAATCTTTGCCACCATTGCACAATTTTGTCCTAATATATATAGAAACTTTGTGAGGCATGTTCAGTTGCAGTTTGCACAAGTTCATCTCATTTGTATTCCACTGATTTTTTTTTTCTTCTAACCATTTTTTTCTAAACAATTGTACACACATTCAGTTTTTTTGGTAGGAAATAAAAACTGTCATTTCCATTGTCAAAAAATAACAATTTCTTGGTAACTCTGTATTAATGTTTTCTTTTAAAAAATCAGTTTCTTTAAAACTGAATTTATATTTAATAATTTCTGTTAGTATTGGGTAGCGTGAAATCTGCATTGAGAAATTGAACAGCATACACCTGATAGCTGTAAATTCCTTCAGAAAATGAAAATTATTTCTTCCTAAAGGTACATTTACATAAGTTCTTGAGGAATAGTCATAACTAGGTTAATAATTGTTTTTGTTTAATAGTTTTAAGTGCCTGTTTGGGATGATGATAGGCAATTTATATGAATTTAGGAAAAAACAAAAGTTTTCACTTGCAGAAATGTCAATTACAGAGGGTCCCCCTCCCCATAGAGCTAAATGGGTTATGTAATGTTTTATCCAAAAGTTTCCAATTCCACTGTCTTGTGTTTTCATGTTGAAAATACTTTTGCATTTTTCCTTTGAGTGCCAATTTCTTACTAGTACTATTTCTTAATGTAACATGTTTACCTGGAATGTATTTTAACTATTTTTGTATAGTGTAAACTGAAACATGCACATTTTGTACATTGTGCTTTTTTTTGTGGGACATATGCAGTGTGATCCAGTTGTTTTCCATCATTTGGTTGCGCTGACCTAGGAATGTTGGTCATATCAAACATTAAATTTAAAAATGACCACTCTTTTAATTAAAATTAACTTTTAAATGTTTATAGGAGTATGTGCTGTGAAGTGATCTGAAATTTGTAATATTTTTGTCATGAACTGTACTGCTCCTAATTATTGTAATGTAATAAAAATAGTTATGGTGACTATGATAGTGTGTACTTCTTGAAACGTTTGTGCCACAGTTGATACGGAATACTTCATAAAACACAGACCCTATAGTATATTAGTGAATCTTTTGCAGCTTATAAGTTAGATATATTCTTTATTTGTGAAAGGTGTTTTGAACATTCTATAAAGGTTTTAAGTGTTTACTTAAAACCATGATAGATTTAGGTCCATTACCATGTTAATTCATTTAAAAGTAGATGCAAAACAGACCTGTCTTTATGATGAAAGAATAGAATAACAACATTATTTATTACTTTTTATCAGTAAAGGTAATTGATACACAACAGGTGACTTGTTTTAAGACCCAAAGAGAACCAGCAGCAAAATTAATAATGGAAGATATTAAACAGGTTGTATGTAATGCCAATCAATGGCAGCCTACTTCAAGATCAGAAATAATCTTACTCCACACACACATTATTTCTGTAACTACACTTCTATCATCGCCAGGTGCTATCTGCTTTGTAGTGAATCTTGAGTGTGTGCTGAGAATTAAGTGCCACACAGGGTCAAAAATAAGGTGGTATTCCTTCAAAAGTTAAGGGGAATTAATGTGCAAGAAATTATTTTTAGTTAAATGTATATTAAGTGGCATTCTCTTGTCAGTAAAATGGAAAAATGGGATAAGAATAATTGGCAAAAACTTACTAAATTAAAATTATTTCAGGTGCACTATAGTTTCATTCAAAATGGGTGCTCATTATTTTTTAATTGGTAGTTGGCTATATTGCTAATTTTGTATAAAAATTAAGCATAAAGGGTTGCTGATAAAGCTCTGTGAATAGAGATTGAAACCTATTTCAGTTCAATAAGGCAGCGCAGGTATTTTTTACATAACCTGTATATCTTGCCATTTTAACGTAACGCACAATTATTTTTATCATATCTTGTTTACATAAATAGCTGACACTGCATTTCAATCAAATTATAGTAACTGTAATCAGTTAGTTTTGTTGCTATCTGAATAATAGCGTTGTTTCATTGCTCTGTATTTCCTAAGAAAGTATAAGGCTTCTAACTCTTTCATTACAAATTCGCCTCGTCCGATAAGTTCTTTGATCTTCTCTGGGTCCTTCACATCTTTGTTTTTAAGGAAAACATTCTTCAGACGCCTTTTAAAATAGTCTGCTCCCTTTGGATAGTCTCGTCCAAGATACAGCAGCTTAAAAAAGAAAAATTATATATTTCTAAGCAATCTGTATCTCAATAACATATGTATAAAACTGGCAACGTAAGTACTTACATTTTTATAAAGGTTCAGTACTTCTCCTCTTAAAGAATTGTTGGCCATTTTCATTTATTATGAAAAGTGTCCACCTTTATACATAACATACCTAAAGAAAAAAAATTTTTGTAAAGAACTGCATCGTAGTCCCTTTTAGAATCAAAGAAAAGTGATTGTACATGTTGGGAATATGGTTACCTTTTTGTTTTTCATTCAGCTTTTTGAGCACTTTATGTTCCAGGCACTGACATAGCTATGAAATGTCAGATATGTGTTCTCACAGAACTATATATCTGTGGGGGAGACATATGAAGAGGATTTTTCTATGAAGGAAAAAGAATAATGAGAGAGAAAATGAGTTGTCAAAAACGGATGTCCTTTTATACGGAGTGAAATGAATGAGATTTAAATCCCAGCTGCATAACGTTACACAAATTACTTAAGCTTTCTGAGCCTCAGTTTCCTTTCTGTCAAGAAAGAGTGTCTATGTTGCTCTCAGGGCAAGGCCAGATTTGTTTGGTGGACACACAAGAGGCCTAATCCTATCTAGAAGGGTGCTATCCTAAGAGAGGCTAAAGAGTAGAAGCTGAGTGTGGGAGTCAAGCAGGTTCTCGACTAATGGTAGATGGGCAGTAAGAGTGGTGGTAAAGAGACTGGGTGAACAAACCCTAGCAGGTACTTACGCGAGAAGCAAGCAACATCCAGTGAAGTAGACTGTGCTTCTATATGTGTAACCTGTTACTGCTATTAGAGAAAGGTGGCTCTTTAAAGGCAACATGATTGCCTAAACATAGAAAATAATTCCCAGTACTTGTTATGGTTGTGGGGATTAAACTGTAAAATTCCTAACACCATAAGCATTTTAGTTCGTAATAAGCCCAAAGTAAATGTTCATGTCATCCATAACCCTCCTTAAAATTTACTCCTATTTTTCCAATGACCTAAGACAACTTTTATACTTTATGTCCCTCATTAACAGAATTATTTTGAAATAATTTCAGTCTTGCAGGAAAGTTATTAGCAACATAATCCTAATACCATTTTTCCTGAACAGGATTTTGAGAGTAAGGATATATAGGAAATTGAGAATTGAGAGAATGTTACTAACATGATATATTAGTGTGAGTACTTTGCAGTGCCATCTAAAGGAAATACAATCCAACACACCTATGTAATTTTTCATTTTCTAGTGTCTCATATTAGAAAACAAAACGGGCGCCTGGGTGGCTCAGTTAAGCGTCTGACTTTGGCTCAGGTCATGACCTCATGGTTCCTGGGTTTGAGCCCTGCATCTGGCTGGCTGCTGTCAGCACAGAGCCTCCTTCAGATCCTCCGTCTCCGTCTCTGTCCACCCCACCCCCACTCGTTCTCTCTCTCTCTCTCTCTAATAAAAACTTTAAAAAATTAAAGTGAAATTAGTTTTATAATATATTTTGTTTATGTCCAAAATATTATTTCAATATGTCATGTTAGCTATATTTCAAGTGCTTATAGGCATGGCTTAGTTGCAGCTATATTGGACAGCACAGCTTTAAAGTATATTTCCTGTGAACAAGGGCATTTTCCTACAGAAAAGTACAACTATCAGAAACTAATGCTGCTACATTACTACTGAAATCCACAACCCCTACACGTTTGGCAGTCATTCCAAAGATGCCCTGTTTTATAGCAAAAAGGTCCAAACATTACACACTGAATTTGGTTTTCATATCTCTTCAGCCTTCAATCTGAAACAGATCCTCAAGGTTTCCTTGACTTCTATGAACTTCATACTTTTGAAGATCACAGGCCATTTATTTTGTAGACTAGCTGGAGACTACCACAGAAATGTTTAAAATGCTCAGAAACAGCAAGTAGCCTGAGAATGAGCCAGGGGCTGGAGAACAGGAGGGATCAAAAAGCAGGAGGAAATCTTTGGGGATGGAGACGTTAATTATTGTGGTTGTGGTGATGATTTTATAGACGTCAAATTTATCAAACTATTTACATTTTAAAGAAGTAAAACTTCATGTCAATTATACCTGAGTAAAACTTTTAAAAAGTTGGTGTAAACATGCTGGCAAAATGTTTGGAGTAGAGCTGCGAGGTAGTAAGATAGATACGGAAATAGAGATCTATCTAAACCCCAAGGCTGCTAATTGGGGTAGATGGTTCAACCGCCAGCAGTTAAGTTGCATTAAAACCTGGTATGCCTCTCTCTGGTGGGAGTCCTGAGTGTAAGCACTGATTTTACATTTTTTTATTTTAATGTTTGTGTGTGTGTGAGAGAGAGAGATGGAGTACGAGTGGGTGAGGGGCAGAGAGAGAGGGAGACACAGAATCTGAAGCAGGCTCCAGGCTCTGAGCTGTCAGCACAGCGCCTGACACAGGGCTTCAACCCATGAACCGCGAGATCATGACCTGAGCCAAAGTTGGATGCTCAACCAACTTAGCCAGCCACCTGGGCGCCCCCCAAAATTTAAGGTTTTAAAAAGTTTAAGTATAGCAGCTAAATGAAAACCTTTTCATTTCTTGCTGAAGTTCATAAATCTAATTCTCTGGCTTCTCTTTCTTAAGGGGGAAAAAACACATAGGAATAAACATTATTTCCATTTTAGTAATTCCCCTCTTCACTAGTAGTTTTTGAGCTAATTCACACAGCAAACATACAATACAGCAGAACAATTCTTTCTCTTTTTCTGTTTTTCTCCAAATTGCTTTTTCTGCTTTTGTCTACATAGCTTCCGAGCTTTCCTCCCAAGTCTGGTAATCCTTTTCTGTCCATTTTTACAAGTGAAAGGACAAAAATAGCTTTTTACAAGATTTGTATACACGGTTGCAGTTGCAACTGATAAGACTCTGAGCTTCATTTAGGATAATCTGAGTGGGCCATTGTTGGGGAACCTCTGAAGTCAGAGTGTTAGAGCATTCCTCCTGGGCTGGCCAGAGTGCCCAGAGAAGAAGCTTCCAATTTGCTGAGCATTTGCCTATTCAATCTTCAGAAGTGGAAGAAGAATGGGGACTTGCACTCAGCAGTATGTATACCAAATTTACTTAATTTCTACTTCCAGTGTGGTTCTCGTACTTAGTATACCTGAAGACACCCCAGTGTATAGAATAGTAGTATTTTGTCAGAAATAAACCTCCATGCTTCTGTAGGGAGTGAGAGGTTTGGTCCCTCCAGAGGTGTTTCTCCAAGAGCTTTAATTTAATCTCTTTTATTTCATTCCTCATTTCTAGTTCCACTGGCCCTGTTCCAGTGCCTTTTGAGAATTATGCAGTATAAATTGGGCTTTTCTGGTGTCTGAGTCACATTCATTCATCTGGTTTGCGGCTTCCAAAATTTTACTGTTGTCATCGTCTCTCTTCTATTTTTCCAATTTATTTTTATATCCCTTCACTGAAGATTTAGTGGAGTTTTGAGAGGGAATGAATTTAATCTACTATACTAATGCCTAATTTCAACTTTAAAACTTTTCCCTTTTTTTTTTTTTTTGCTCAGAGCCTATCTATAGTATGATTTAATCTTACTGAAGAATGGCTCTTCAGAACCACGTGCTTTAAAAGCGATTCTCAATCAACACAGACATACTTTAAAACTGCAAATTATAGCCTGTTTAATTTTCTAACAAGGAGCATAGCTTTATTTAACTCTAAACTTGTCATTTGTAAAAACCTGTAGAGATATGGCTTGTCTTTTTAGTTTGCAAATTATACATGATAAAAGATTTGCCCAGCAAAAACTGTAGCTGGTTTGATTAGAGTGAAACTGTCCCAGTCTTGGATATGTTAACTTCTAGGAATTAAGGTAGTTTATCATTATTATTTTGTGTTGACCTTCAGGCATTTGAGTAGCCATTGGGAGAAAGAGGTCTCCTTGGGTTCACAACTGGTGAAGCTGAAGTGCAGCAGGGACCGGGGGCCGTTCCTTAACCCTGCATGAAGTCATGGAGGTTATTGCTCTTTGTAAAGAGCCAATCTGTTAGGGACTGAGAGGAGTCCCATTCTGAGAATGTGTGTGGTACGCCAGGGGAAGAAGGTACCACCCTCACTGATAGCTCTTTTCTAGTAACTGGGGACTGAGGAGTTCAGATTTAACCAACTCCACTCTGGGGTTAAGTAAGAATTGTCATTTTACGGGTTGCCAAAGCTGTTGTTAATCACTCCTCCTCATGAAGTTCAGAAGGCAATAAAAGCTAAAGGAAAACTGGCAAAGAAAGGCAGTGCAATATTACTATGTATAGGGTTCTGTTAGATTTGACTCAAACAGCTGAAACACATTTCCCCAAACTAAGCCGAAAAAGCTTCACACAAAAAACTTTAATACCAGCACCGAAGGATATGTTATCACAGAGGTAGGTGGCAAGAAGACTTTTGCCCCTAAGTTGGTATTTGGCTTGGTCGAGCCCTACCTAGAAGCCAGATTATAGAAGCGAGTTGAAAGGAGCTGTTTACGTATATGTTCAGAATGGGTGGATATTACAGCTGTCTGAAGGCAAAGAAGAGAGAACAGGAAAATCGCCCTTACACTTAGGCAACTCGCAAGAGAAGTAGGAAAGAACCAACTTCACTGGGATCATCTATTTTTATAGCACAGAGACCCCTAGAACAGTCTAGCGTGTTCTCGCACATCCATAGCAATTCCTCCTCCCTAGGAGGGAGGTGGCCTAGAGGGAGCCACTACAGCAAGTCCTGTCCCTTAGAGGCCTACCATTTTAAGGTAATTGGGATTACCATTAACACCTCCTTAGGCCCATCAATCCTAACTGAATTGACTGAAGTTTTATAACAAAGACGTCAGTAGTTTGACTGAAACACTAAAACAAAAGCTTGCTTTCCTATCAAATGGCTTCAGAACTGTATATGAAGTGGACATTAAGACGTTTTTGATCTTGCTACCGGGCTTGCAGATGGAATGTCCTAATTTACAATCGGATTTCTGTTACAACGGGGATAATAAGACCTCAACCCATAGGACTAGCTCAGTAATACTTACTAATACATTTAATCAATGAAGTTGGAAGAGAGAGAGCATTATAAAATTACAATTCAGAGATAAGAAATGGTGCCAACGATTTGAAAGTATTCCATGTTCTGTGATGCTAAAACAAGGCCCTAAAGTCAGAGAATTGGGCGAGAATTTGGAGGGAGCTTAAATTCTTAAATCACTTAACTTCTTCTAGTTTCCCCGTGGGTCTAAGTTGGTAGTGTTTCTTCATACGGGAGAAGACTGAAATTCTGAAGGTTGTGCTACTGGCGAGTACAATGAGCCTGTGACCTTGGGCGAGTGACTTAATGAGCCTTTCTGGGTGTCAGCGACCTTCGACCGTAAGAAATACTTCATCCAGGATTTGCTTCAACTAATTTCCTCTTCTTGTTTAGAGCTGCTCTTAGGAAAATCGGCATGTACATAACTTGCACAGAAGGTAAACTGAACCATGTGCACAGAGAAGAATCCGAAGGTCATTTTTTAAAATAACCCTCTTGGAACTAATTTATTGACTTCTTCTCTAAACTGAGCCCCGGTCCCCACTCAGCCCACCCGGGTGTCAAGTCACTTGACCCACTGGCATAGCGGGCGGCTCCCTTCCTTCTCGAAACTCTCACGGAAAGATCTGCCCCAAAACACTCCGGGGAAACTGAGGAAGAGAGACTGTCAACGTCGGAAGACGTTCAGAAACCCTTTGCCACACCCGGTAGTCCCTGCCCAAGGCATCCTTCACGACCTCCAGACCCCAGGATCTGGAAAACAGAATAAAACGCCCCGGCGGCGGCACTCACGCACTTTCCGGCATTCCACGGCCGTAAAGGCCCCCGACCGCTTCGACTCCAGGGTCGGTCAACAGCGAACAGGGCGGTGTCGGTGTGCGCCAGCCAGTCAGAGAAGGGGGCGGGGCGCCGCCCGGAAGAACCCGAGCGCGATTGCGCGGACCCTTTCGCGAGGAGGTGCGCTCCTTCCCGAGGGCGCGTGTGGGCGGGGCTTGTCGTCCTAGCTACCCGGGAGCGTTTGTCCACGCAGCGCTAAGCTCAGATTTGGCCCACTACAGAGTTTGTGCTTGCTGCAGCATGGTGAGCGGGGAAAGTGGCGGAGGGGCGAGCAGTGATTCACCGTGGTAAAGTGATATAATAAGAGCATGTCATATTTTAGAAGGGAGCGGACCGGTTTAAGAAAGAACCCATATCCCTCTGGGGAATCTGCCTTCTGATCCGTGGCCTTCCCGTCCGGAAGAGGGACAGATGAGAGTCCCAAACTGGTTTCGGCAAACGGGGGATGGCCACTGCGGTCAGATGGTGTCCTAATCTGGCACTGTTGCTAGGTTTAAGAATTGGTTTCAGCCTGGTAATTTCCAATAATGAGAGACGTTTCCGTTAAATTGCTTTTGTTTTTAAAATGTATTGGCAGCTGGGCGAAAATGTGTTTTTTGTGCCTCCTCCGTAAATTAAAAGCTGTTGCAGTTTATTCTCCTTTGAAAAGTTATTTCATGTGGTCTCTTGTGGAAATATGAGTGGTTTTGTGATGCAAGTCACTCAGCTTGCCTTGACTTTATTAAGTACAATAAAGCTTCTTGTCTTATTTAATGCACTCCTCAGCTGTCATGTCTTCCACAAACACAGACCAACCCTGTAGCTGTAAGATTATCTTTTCCCCCATTTTCTTAAATGGGACTTCCATCTTCTATTGCTAAAACAAAAGGAAGTAGAAAATGTAATTAGTTAATTTAATACAGTAATTGAGAGGAAATACAGATTACATTCTGTGTCTTTGAAACTAGGCTAGAAGTCAAGGATCTTAAAAGTGAATATTGTAGGGGCACCTGGGTGGCCCGGTCAGTTAAGCGTCTGACTTCGGCTCAGGTCATGATCTCACGGTTCATGGGTTCGAGCCCCGCGTCAGGCTCTGTGCTGACAGCGAGCTCAGAGCCTGGAGCCTGTTTCAGATTCTGTATCTCCCTCTCTCTCTAACCCTCCCCTGTTCATGCTGTCTCTCTCTCTCTCTCTCTCTCTCTCTCTCTCTCTCTCAGAAATAAATCTTAAAAAATAAAGTGAATATTGCAGCCCCTCCCTGTTACAGGAGACAGGCTAAACTAATAATAATACAGTTTTTTTTAACTGTAACGAATGAAATGTCTACAGTGGAGTAAGATTAATTGGAAATGATGAAATTGGGGTGGGGAAGGACATAGAAAGGGAAGAACAATGCTTTTCGAAGTGTGTTTTAAAGTATGAATATGAGTTTCCCGAATTGATGGAAAGAAATAAGGAATGGAGAACATTCATGTCTGGAAGACCAGGAGGTAAATGACTGGACTCTAAACTGACTAAACTGACTTAACATCGCTGGTAAATTGAGGGAAGAATAGCCCTTACTTTATTTTCCAATGGAACATAAATGTCATCCCTCTAGCAGTGTTTTTCAAAATGTCCCTGGAACATTTACTTTTACCACATCTGGAATACTTGTTAAGATACAGAGTCCAGGAATAGACTGGATTCCAAGTCTACGGTATTAGTTTCCTAGTGCTGCCAGGTAACAAAGTAAAACAAACTAAGTGGCTTAAACAATAGAAAAGTATTGTTTCACAATTCCGGAGGCTGATAAATCTAAGATCAAGATGTTTCCAGGGTTCTGCTCCCTCTGCAGGTACCAGAAAGGCATCTGTTCAGACCTCTTTCTTAGCTCTGAGGGTTCCTTGGCAACATACCCCCATTCTTTATATTGTGTTCTTCTGTGTGCATATCTGTATCCAAGTTTCTCCTTTTTATAAGGACACTAGTCATATTGGATTAAAGGCCATTCTGTTTCAGTATGATCTTACTTTAATTATATCAACAACAACCCTAGGTGCGAATAAGCTAAAATTTGGAGATACTGGGAGATAGGACTTCAGCATATAAATTTTGTGGGGATGCAATTCAGTACTTAGTATTTACTGAATCATAATGGGGAAGGGGAAGTGAGTGTGCACACTTTTACTGAAGAAATATGCATTTTTTAAATAAGCATCCAGGTGACTTTTATGCCCTCTGAACTTTGAGAACTACGGTTGACCCCTGAATAACAATGGTCCACTTTGAACTGTGGGAATCCACTTACAGGCTGATATTTTTTTTCCATAAATATTGTACAGCACTGTTAATGTATTTTTTCTTATGATTTCCTTAATATTTTTTTCTCTAGCTTATTTTACTGTAAGAATACAGTGTGTATAAATATAATATACAAAATATGTGCTAACTGACTCTATGTTATCAGTAAGTCTTCTAGTCAACAATAGGCTATTAGTAGTTAAGTTTTGGTGGAGTCAAAAACTATATGTGGATTTTTGACTGCATACGGGTCAGCACCCCTCATCCTTGTGTTGTTCAGGGGTCAACTGTACTATACTACATGATTGTCAGAGACTAGGAGTCTGGAATTCTCTCTTGTCCAGCAAGAGAGCAGACACAGAATTGAATACAAAAAAGGCTAATGTCCAAGAGGAAACAAGAGCCCCCAAACAGGTTTCGTCTCTGTATTTATTGAGAGCACAAGATCTTACACACGTGGTGAACGTGGAGAAAACAATCAAATAGTAATCATCACTTGGATGATTAAGAAGCAAAGTGTCTGATCACTTTGTGATCAAGGCACAATAGTATATTGGTGTCAGATGGAAAGTAATTTTCTGCAGGTGATATAACAAGTTACTCGTGATCCCATTACAATATCTCCCTAGCTAACCTCTGTGCTTTCGCCCTGTAGTGGTGGCTTTCTCCCCTAAGGTTTTTTCTAACCCATTTATGTAAGTAGAACCTATTTCCCCACACATGATGCTCTTCTTATGATTTGTAGGAGGGATTAGGATAAATACTAATCCCAAACCTGCTTCATATTAAAAGCACTAGTAAGAGATGATAATTTGTCAGTCTTAAAATATGGCTACTTGAGAACAGGAGCAATACTGTTTGCATATTCTGCTGTATAGTAGTTAGTTCGAGATGAAAGTGTATTAACTATTAATTGATAGTAAGTATAATAAATATAGAACCCAACAGTAAAAATTATATGAGAGCAAAGGCTCTACCATTCTTATTTATATCAATCTCTGGTGTCCCAGAACACCTTGTGTCCAAATTAAATCTTAAATATCTGCTGAATGAATTAATGTACTTTCCAAGAAGATAAAATCTGCTTCATGTGAATTTTAACATTTATATTTAATACAGTGAAAATCTTATAGCTTGAACCAGTAATTTCTCCTGTATACGTCTTCAGATGTGGAAAGTGTATAATCATATAGTCACATGATCTCTTATAGATTCCTTATCAGACACTTAATGGACACGTGAGCCTAATCAGGAAAATACAAGTAGTGTTATTGAATCACTTGTAATGGTAATGCTAGTGGTAAATATTTGTTGAAATACTGTGCTTTCCAAAATAATTTCCAAAGAATAGATCTGCATTAAGACACATTGCTGAACAGACTCATTTGATCATAGATTTGCTTGCCTTATATAACTGACTTTCTTTCTATAAACTTAGCAATCTAATTACAGAAAGATTCTTTATTTATGAGATCATTTCCATACTTTCAAACTGGACATCAGTACCAGTACTTAATCATTTATTGTTCTTTGGAACCCTTTAAACTAGCTCTTTCCTGACCGCTGCTCTGTGTGGGGATAGGTTCTGTCATTCTGCAAAGACCATGGCATGATTGTCATAAGAAAGAGTGTAAGATTTAAAGAGTGTATAATTTTAAAAAGATGTTTCAGTGGGTGAACGACTTTAGTTTTTCCTGTACCTGCTTGTAGTTTTGTCTAAATTGTTTTTTAAAAGATATTATTTGAAGATAATTTTAGATTTACATGAAAGTTGCAAAGATGGTACAGAGAGTTTCCTTATGCTCTCCTAATTTTCACATTTTACGTAATCTTGGTACTTTTGTTAAAATATCTGAGTTTTTAAAAATTGATCAATCCTTTTGTTTTTCTAACTTTCAGGGTCCCAAAGCAAAAAAGGTAGGTAGAAATTATTTTCTCAAAATAGTTTTATAAGCACTGACATTGTACAAACAGAAGTTTTAAACATTTTCTAGTTAGTTTTATCATTGTTTATAGGGTTTATAGGGTTTACTAAGCTTACTGTATAGATATTAATGATATTTAAATCATGGGTACTCTTTTACAAAACAGGATGTATTTCACATTTGACATAAAAAGATACTCTAGTTTCACCAAGACTTAAAAATAGTCTTTAGTTTTTACATGTACATAAATTTGGGGCTTTTTATTAGTTGTGCTCTAGAAAATGTTAGATTAAGAACCCCATTTCTTTATTCCAGATAAACACAAAAATTTAGTTACAAAACTTTAAAAGTGGACCCTAAGGTAATAGATTTTTAAATGAATTGTATAGTAATGCATACTTGATTTTCTTTTGTACTTTGTAGAAATTTGAATTTAATTAGGGAGGTCTCGAATCCCTTTTTCTCTTTTTCACTTAGTAGATTCATACTTTATTTTTTTTAAGTTTAATTATTTATTTTGAGAGAGACAGAGACAGTGCAATTGGGGGAGGGCACAGAGGGAGGGAGAGAGAGAATCCCAAGCAGGCTCTGTGCTGACAGCACAATGTGGGGGCTCTAACCCATGAAACTGTGAGATCTTGACCTGAGCCAAAACCAAGAGTCGGACGCTTAACTGACTCAGCCACCCAGGTGCCCCAGTAGATTTAGACTTTAAAACAGATTATAACCTCTTGACTGGCAAGCTGGATTTAGCCTCTAAGCATATTTTGTTTGACCTGAAAAGTTATTTTTTAATTAGTTGCCAAATTATTTTCAGACAAAAATGTGATATCCCCCGTTCTTGAACAATTGAAATACTGGTGACATTGGGCCTATAGTCTAGTAAGGCAACAGTTGGCTAGACTGAGCAGTGGCACCCCTTTTATAGAAATGCATAAACTCTCCAGTTTCCCCTAGGCCTGACTATGACCAAACTCAGATTACTCAGGTTACTTTATTAACCTGCTTGATCCCAGGAGGAATTTGGATTTGGAATGCCAGCTTTAAGGTATATCTCAAAAGTCACTTCCCTAAAATTTTCTACTATTCTTTCTTGCAGAATCAGTTATTCTATGTTCTCATAGCACATGCATTTGTACATATGTCAACTATAACCCTTATGTCATTTTATTGTAAGAATTTATAATTATGAGCTGCTCAGGGTCAGGATCATGTCATTCATTTTTATGTTCATAGCATTTAACTCAGTGCCTGGCACATAGTAGACACTGAATCAATATTTGTCTAATGAATATGTGGAACCCCATTTACCCTGCCACTATTTAAAAATACCTCAGGCCTTGACTATTTAAAGATAATGCTTGTCTAATGTGTGTATTCAATATTTATACAATTAAGCATTTCTTCAAGAGATACTGTTGAGTGCCTCAGTGTTTGCTTCTCTCAGTCACTTGGACTCAGTCACTTGGATATTGTTTTAAGGGCTGTGAACTGAACAAAATTTATGCAGGCTCAAGACACAGTCTCATGGAAATGTTCTGGAGGACTACAGTTATTTGTATATGTGGGTCTATAATAGTTTATTGATTTGTGCGTATTTTTTTCTGGCTTCAGTTTGTGAAATCTTAGAGTCATTGTTTTCAATCTGAAAATTCATTGTTCTAAATGACTTGGCGCTTAACTGTGTATGGAAGGGTGCTACATAAATACTTCTGTCTTCTTTTATTCAGAGTGTTGTATCCCTTAGAGAATTGTCATAGTAAGCCTCTAAAATTTGAGTCCAAATGTAAGGAGTAAATCACTCCCTTTTTATTTATTCCATTCTTAAAGATTGTGGTTTGGAGGATGAATTGAGTCTGTAAGTACAGTTAATAAAACATTGAAAGATATATTTTATTCTCTCTTTGTCACAGATTTTTAAGGGAAAAGTAATATATGCACATGGTACAAAATTAAAATAGCATAAAAAACGGAAAGTTTTCTCTTACTCAAGACTAGAAGAACTATTGCATGTCTTTTCATAAACTGTCTTAGCATTAAGGAACACACACATCCCTCTTCTCCCCACAGGTGGGAGCATCCTGCGCCTTCTACTTATCACTTAATGATACTGTATTTAATCTATTCTAGGATACTCATCTCTTTATACTTTACTAAAACTGAGATGTATCCATATCATCTTACAATCATCTTAGTCTTGGATTGACATCCATTTCTTCCAGAGAGGAGGTTTACTTCTGCCAGTCACGTGGGCTTGCTCACAACCTGATACTGCTTTCAGTTCTCTGCCTGTGAGTTTTTGGGTCACACTAATGGTATGAGTCAGACAGCAAATCCACATGAACTGGGTTGTGGCTTAAATTTTGAGGGATTGTTTTTCCATTCATTTTCCGCATTGAGATCTGCACGTTTTCTTCCTGTATCTCTCTGTGTTGTGAGTTCATTTCTCTTTACTCATATCCAGCTTTATACAGTCATCTCCTGTTAGACTTCCACATTGGGCAGTCCCTACTTAAAGGTACATCTTACATCGAATGGCACCATAGTTTGGATAGGATAAGTATGTCTTTGGAAACTTTTTGCTTCAGTACATCAGGATAATGTCACTTCTTTTCATAGCTGCATCATGTTTCCTTGAAAGTATGTACTCTGATTTTTCTGTTGTCCCTATTTTTTGCTACTACAAACAAAGTTAAAATGAAGATCTTTGTATATAAGGCCTTGCAGAAATATGGAAGAATACTTATTTCATTGATGTAGCAGTGTTCTAGACTTTAAGAGAACTGTAGCAAGAGAGAGTCCCTGATCTCATGAAGCGTATATTCTTTTTTTTTAATCCAGCTTTATTGAGATATGATTGACATATAACATTGTGTAAGATTAAAGCATACAACATAATGATTTGATATACTTATATATTATGAAGTGATTACCAGACTAAGGTTAATTACACATCTATTACCTCATGTAATTACCAGTGTGTGTGTGTGTGTGTGTGTGGTGAAAGCATTTAGAACCTACTGCCTGAACTCTAACAATACTATATTGTATTGTTAACTGTAGTCAGCATGATGTACACATCATCTGATGTACACATCACTTATTCATCTTATGTCTAGAAGTTTATACTCTGACAAATATTTTCCCATTTCCCCCATGGCCTACCCCCTGGAAATCACCAATTTATGCTATTTCTATAGAATATATTGCTTTTTTGGATTCCATATGCAAGTGAGCTCATACGGTGACTGTCTCTGACTTATTTCACTTAGCATAATGCCCTTATTTCTCTGGGTTGTCACAGATAGCAAATTTTTCTTCTTTTTGTGGCTGAATAATATTCCATTTACATATATTTATCCACTCATCTGTGGATGGACACTTAGGTTGTTTCCATGTCTTACAGTACACATGAGGATGAAGATATCTTTTTGAGATAGTGGTTTCATTTTCTAAAGTTTACATCCTATCTGGGGAGGGGAATTGAAGAGATGATATAATATTGGCTAAGCGTCCAACTGCTGCTCAGGTCATGAGCTCATGGTTCATGAGAGTGAGCTCCATGTTGGGCTCTATGCTGACGTCGCAGAGCCTGGAGCCTGCTTCAGATTCAGCGTCTCCCTTTCTCTCTGCCTTTCCCCCAACTCACTCACTTGCTTCCACTTCCCCTCCCTCTCTCTCTCTCTTTCTCAAAAATAAATATTTAAAAAAAGAAGAACGAGAAAAATAATATAATATCAGACAGCTTTGAAAATACAGAAAACCAAGAAGGGGGTCAGTGAGAAATGTGGGGTAGAGGATAGTGGTGATGCTATTTCATACAGGATGTTAAAGAAAGAAAATTGAAGAAGAGACCTCGATGAAGCAAGGGAGTTAGTCAATAATTATCTAGGGGATAAGCATTCTAGAAAGAAGAGACAGTTATTGCAAAAATAGCCAAGTAGGCCATGGTGAGACGTTTGGGCTTTATTCTGAGTATGGTGGATAGCATGGGAGAGTTGAAGCAGAAGAGTGATATGGTCTGATTAACATATTTAAAAGCGAGGGGAAGGGAAGCAAGAGTAGAAGCAGAAGGACCAGTTATGAAGCTACTGCAGCATCTAAATCACAAGTCCTTTTACTGAAATTAACCCATTTCTACTACATAAAAAGTACTCTCACAGATACACAAAGATCTTCCAGTGATGCCAGGACACAGATAGTTTTATGGAAATCAATTTCCAGATCATCAACTTCCATACTCCCCCTTGCCTGGGAAAGCTCTACTATCTTAAAGTCCTCCCTTTTCACAGTTACCCTTTTGCTTTACAAAACAAAAGCATATCTAAATCTTAGTGGTTCACTGCCCCAGGGCCTGGGCTATGAAACTAAGGGACAATTCAAATATTGATGTTGGCACAGGTCTCTCTAATCAGGCTACCAAGAGACTTTTTGTCCTTTGTTCTTTGTGGCGAAACGTGGCGTTAGAGGTATTGAGATATTCAGAATTTCGTATATATTGTTGTCTTGAATTGTGGAGCTGGTAGTAATTTTTAGTGACAATACCCATGAAATTATTGTGATATGATGATGCAAGAAACCCTCTGACAATGTTTATTTATTTGTTATTTTTTTTAATGTTTCGTTTTATTTTTTGAGAGACAAAGAGAGACAGAACGAAGGCAGGGGAGGGGCAGAGAGAGAGGGAGACACAGAATTTAAAGCAGGCTCCAGGCTCTGCTGTTAGCACAGAGCCTGATATGGGGCTCGAACCCACGGCGAGATCATGACCTAAGCTGAAGTTAGATGCCCAACCAAGTGAGTGATCCAGGCGCCCCTGTAATTTATTGATAACACATCCGGACTCCAAAAACAATATTAATTTTTTTAATGAAGACAGATTCAGGGTATCAATAAAAATGTAAATAAGCTTACTATTTTTACATAGACCCTAAAGATGCTTGTGAAACTTTACATAATTTAGAATTATTTGTTGCAAAAGCTAGGAAAAAT